GGGCTGGCTGGCATGTGGTGCTGGGGGATTGAACCGCGGTCCCTGTGCTTTGCTTAGCTTGTTCCAAGTAGGTGCTTTAGACCACTGAGCCATCTCACCAGCCTGCAAATACATTTTTCAAACATTAAACAACCTTAAAAGGAAAAATTGGAGAAATAAACCATTCAATTTTTAAAAAATAACCTTTATTTAGGAAAAAAGAAGTGTGAAAGGGTATGGTGGCTAAAGCCTGTAATCCCAACATTCTGGGCAGCTGAGGCAGGAAGATCTCAAGTTTGAGTTTAGCCTGGGCAATTTCATGACTTAGCAAGATCGTGTCTCCAAAAGAGGCTGGGTGCGTAGCTCAGCATGCAGGTGCTACCAAGAAGAGAGAAATAGAGACACACGGACAAGGTGAATGGAGAGGAGGAGAAGGAGGGGAAAGGGAAGGAACAGATGTGTCCTACACACTGGAGCCCCTGGTGTTCCCCTGGAGAAGAACTGACTCCAGACAGACAGGGAGGCCCACGGTGATGGTGTAGGATCAAAAGCCTGAGGCTCCCCCACAGTGCTAGCGGACACCCAGAGAAGGCCAGAGTTAGGAGAAGTGGCTTCAGCCAGTGGGCAGGAGGGGAGAAGGACTGAAGAAAGGAACAAGGGACAAAAGTGTGCCTCTGCAGCAGCTGCTGCACATCAGTGCTCTCTAGGGAACCAACACCCATCCTCAGGGTTCATCTCAGATGCACATGAGCCACTACACCCACAGGCGTCCGACCACCTGTGCAGTGGCAGCCTAACCTGGACAGGCCTGTCTTTCCTCCAAAGGGCACTCACTGTCTCCCACTGGGCTGTGAGCCCCTGCCAAGGAGACTGTCCTTCCTCCATCACTGTTGTGTCCCCCTCAAGTCCAGCAGGTCCAGCTCAGCGCAGTGGCTGGCTCCTACCAGGTGCTCTGTCCTTATCTATTAGGCAGAATAAGTAAGGATGGAAGAAGAGAGACAGAAGTTTGTGGACATGTCAAGATTATACATCTAGGAAATGGTGAAGTAAGATTCAAGCGCTTGTTTCCTGCCTCTAAATTTCCTACTTCAATACCCTCCTTGTTCCAGGGCTGGTAGCAGATAGAGGACAGTGTGGCTTTGGGTCCATCCTGACCCTCTTGGGGCCTAGCCGGGAGGCATTTCAGTGGACAGCAGCATCTCCGGGATAGTGTGTAGGCAAAGGCAGGGTGAGCAGACAAAACTGTGCCCTGCTCTTGAACAAAATTGCTGAGATTTTAGGAAAACAGGTTTGCTTTATTGCTGGGACAGTAATGTCTGAGGATGCTGGGTAGGAAGTCCCTGCCCTGCTCTCTAGCTGTCACACAGGTCTCAGTCACTTTTCATGTCCTTGCAGGATGGAGGGCAATGCCGAATACATCCTCCCTACAGAAACAAAATACGTCGGGGAGATGAAGGACGGCATGTTTCACGGCAAAGGCACCCTGTTCTTCCCCGGTGGGAGCCAGTACGATGCCATCTGGGAGAAGGGAGTGGCCATAAAGGTGAACAGCCAGGGGCTGCACGGGGGCGATCCTCGAGCCTGCCTGGTGTCCCCCTCCTTCCATTCTCTTGCTTCCCTGCTTCTGGACCTCTCTCAGCTCTAGAACCTTCTCCCACTGGATCTGGAAGGGCCCCTGGAGAGGCTGTGATGAGTTTCAGTCCTGTTATGCCACTTCCTGTCTGATCAGGAAGTCTAGACTGGGTCACAGGGCCATGTTCCTCGCGGAGGCTCTTGGGTGGGATCTGTTTCCTCACCTTTTCTAGCTTGTGGAAGCTGCCTGCATTCCTTGGCTCCTGCCCATGCATCGCCCTGACCTCTCCTTCCAGCACTACATCACCTTCCCTCTCCCTGCTTTTGTCATTATCTCCTCTCCATTCACCCAGACCTGGCTACTTCCCTCTCTTGAGGCCCCTGGTGATTACCTTGGGCACACCCAGATAATCCAGGACAATTTCTCTCACTTCAGAGCTTTCATTTAATTACATCTGCAAAGTCTGTTTTGCCATCCCAGCAGACGTGGACTTGTTTCAGGGACTACAGCTCAGCCTGCCACCATAACAATAGGCATGTGCAAGGAGGGCTGTAGAAGTAAATCAGATAGAGCCTGTGAGCACTTGGCCAAGTTTCTGACGTGCAGTAGGCACTCAATAAGTGGTAGCTCTGACGATTACTGCCACCACCTCTGCTACTATCATCATAAATTACCTAACTCAAGGATCCCAAACCTGGGATCTGGGGACTACGAATAGATTTCAGAGGCCAGTAAGACCTAATTGTTATACAGAAGTTTCTACGAATATGGAATTATTTTTCTCTGGAGAAATGATCTCTAGGTTTTCTCAGTTTTACTAAGAGTGTGTTAGGGCCTGACTCATAATCCAAAAAAAGGTTTTAAAAACACTTCTTGTTTTATACCTTGGACAACCTAAGCCCAGGAAAGGGATGTGACTTATCCAAGGTCACACAGTGAACTAATACTATTGTGGGAATTTCCAACCCCGGTTTCCTGAAGCCTCGGCCAGCATCGTTTCTACATCCTGGGGCTCCAGTTAGCACTAAGGTAGCAAAAACAGAACACACGTGTTTGGGACAAAGGGCCACGCCTGATGGCTCTGACCTTTGTAAGTGTGATGATAATAGAAGAATAATATTTTTATACAATAAAAGAATAATATTAACATTTACAAGTGCTTAGTATATGTCTGTAACTTGAGTTCTTCAAGAAAACAGAACCAAAAGGAGATCAATTGATCGATTGATAGATTGATTGATTGATAGAGATTTGTTAAGAGGGATTAGCTTATGATGTTATGGAGGCTGCCCTACAACCTGTCCTCCACAGGTTAAAGGCCCAAGAAAACCAGTGCTCTGGTCTAGTTTAAACCTGAAGGCTGAGAAACCAGGTGACTCAATTGTATAAGTCTCAGTGAGAGCCAAAAAGCCTGAGAATCAGGGGTATTGATGTCTAGAGGAGGAGAACATGGCTATCCCTGCTTAGGCTGAGAGCAAATTGGCTCTCCCTCTGCCTTTTTCTTCTATCCAGGCCTTCAAAGGATGGAATGATGGCTGCCTGCATCAGGAGGAGTCAACTGCTTTCCTCTGTCTACATGTCCCTTAGCCCAGCCAAGTTGACATGTAGGGTCAGCCAACACGCCCTTTGCATATACCCTGTCATCGAGGTGCCATTAATTCCCATTAACTCTATACTAGTACTATCCCGCCTTTACAATTATGGGAGCCAAGGGCCAAGAGAGGGGCATCTATCTGCTCAGGTATGCACTCAGAGTGCCCTTCCTCGGGTGGCAGGCACGGAGTCCAGTGTTTTACCTCCATTCCTCTAATCCTCACGGCCGTAATAGTTGGGAGAGTCATCGCTTCTAGTCTGTGGCAGCGAGACGCTTCAGCCCCTCAAGTGTGAGCATGGCCTTGTATTCCAGGGCACCTACACCTTTGCAGACGGGCTGCAGTATGAAGCAGAGCACTGGCATTACTGTGACAGCTATGACCGGAGATTTTACACGGAGATCTGCCATGGCTTGAGACCTTCAGGTATTTGGTCCCTTCCCTCTCTTCCACTGTGAATAGATTTTAATGAGTGCCTGTGGTTCACCTGAGCACCTCAAAGGAGAGGAACCAAACAGCCACAGAACTTAAGAGCCAGGACCTGGAGCCATAAAGGCCAGTCCTTAAATCTCAGCTCCACTGGATTGGCCAGAGGACTGTCAGCAATGCCTCTGTTTCTTTCCAAAGTGGGGTTAATAGCATCATCTACTTCAAAAGATTGCTGTCAATAAGATAATTCCTATAAAGGACTTAGAAGAGTTCTAAGTTCTTGTGTGTACCTGTTACCTGTTCTTATGTATGGTGCCTACTCTAACCTTAAAGATAGGTACGTGTTTTAAAAGAGAGGAGGGCAGAGAACAACACTGACCTAGCACATGCCCTGCAGGCAAGGCGCTGGCTGAGCTTCTCTGTCATCCCTGTCTCCTTGACTCTCCAGAGACCCCTGCCTGGTCTCCTTCCCTGTCCCATGTCATAGAGGAGAAAGTCTGGGCCATGGAGTCCAAACATGTCTCTGGTGGCAGAGCTCACCGAGGAGCCCAAGACTTCCTCTCAGATACCCCCTGGGTCATGCCACCCCTGTGTAGAAGCCATGTTTCCGTGCAGAGGGTGACATTTGAGCCAAGAGTCTGGCTTCAGAGAGTGGCAGCTTAAGAGGTTCTCTGTATTCCTAAGATTAATACTAGATTAATATTGTCCCTGGGGCACAGCAGAGACAATGTATCAGAGATGACAAATGAAAAAATGACTTTTAAACTGTAAAGACAAACCCTGTGTAGTTGACAGAATGTGGAGCTGGAAGGCCTAGGTTTGAGTCCTAGCATTTCCTCTCAATACCTGAATGGGCATGGACAAGTCAACTTCCATTGAGTCAGAAACTTCCAGAAAGCAGTAGAGTCAGGCAGGCCTAAGTTCCTTTACCTCCTCACTTTGTGGATTTTGGATCAGTTGTTTGAGCAAGAGAACTACCTTCTCTTCTTTTCCTTTTCACACACACACACACACACACACACACACACACACACACACACCAATTTCTGCCAGTGTTGCCTCTTCCCCCCAACACCCTGCAATAACTGGTGCTGGGATTTCCCAGAGTACCCTGGTTCAGGCCTTTTTCTACTATTCTATACTCTCTCCCCGAACAACTTGATCCCCTTGTAAGCCTTAACTGTTCTCAGCTCCCAAACTGAGATCAGAAAAAGACTCAGAGTCTAAACTCACCTGTACAGTAAGTTATCCCTGTTTTTCCCACCCTGAATTTATTACCATCCCCACCAGCCCACTCTGCCCCAGGGACCATAGGAAATGTCAGATGGTACCATAGGAAATGTCGCATCTGTCCACCCAGATAAGCCCCCCTCCCTTTCCCCTTGCCTCCTGTGTAGTTATCACCTGGCCCTGGAGACAGTGTATTCCTCTATGTGTTCCCTCAGCAGCTATTTCCTGAGCACCTCTCTGTGCCAGGTAGCATCCTACTCATGCCTGGTCACTGCTCTTGATTGATTACCCACCCGACTTCCCAAGATTCCTGCCAGTCTCCATTCTGTGGCCACTTCTATCTTTCTTTAAAAAAAAAAAAAAAAAAAAAA